TTGCCAGTCATGCTTAGTGTTTATTAGAACGTGAAAAAATTTTCAACAATGGAATTTTTTCTTCTGTGTTGTAATGTCAGTTTCATGCGTGAAAAAGCGTTCTTTATAAACATTTCAGAACATTACTACAGTATTCGTTGTTGATTCTATTAGGTGACGGCTTAAATTTTTTGATGTACATTTCCTCGAGGATCTGTAGTTTGAATTTGTTATTTTCCTGGTGTAGGTTAGTTGTGTTGTTGATAGAACTTGGAAAATGGCAAATAAAAACGATTTTCATGGTTATAGCACGTTTCTCACATCATTTAATTGCAATACACGGAAGGTTATTTGTGAGTATGAACGGATTTTATTAAAAATAAGCAAAAATAATGTCTGTATTTTATTTAACAAGACATTCCTAAAAGAATTCGTTGCCTAAACACACACACAAACATATATATATATATATATATATATATATGTGTGTGTGTGTGTGTGTGTGTGTGTGTTTGTGTGTGTGCGTGTCTATATGTATCTGTGTATGTGCGAAGTGAGACATATTGATGGACATAGAGATTGATATATATACGTATATATATATATATATATATATATATATATATATAGATAGTTAGATAGATAGATAGATAGATAGACAGCACTCTTTTCATGCCTATCTATTTATCTAGTATAGTGCTGTCTTCAATTCTGTTGCCATATATGTGAGTATCAATATGTCCCAGTTCATTATCTATCTCTATATTCATATGTGTTTGTGCGAACTGAAAAATATCGATAGACATAGGCATTGATATATATAGTCCATTTCCTAATATATATATGTATATATATATAGTGATTTATAAATTTTTTAGATGTATCAACAGGCTGTAAATAACCACATCAACGCTATGTGTATTAAATCGATACATATATATATATATATATATATATATATATATATATATATATATATATATATTGCATTGATGTTCACCATGTACAAGGCCCGAAAGCCACTTGAGGTAGAAAGATACAGGGTAATAAATACACATTATTGGGATATATGGAAAACATAGCGGTTAACCCTCGACTTGACCATGTAAAGTTTGACGTGATCGGAGAAACATACTTTTGATTGTCGTTTCCCCAAAGGAACGTTTTTTTTTGGAAGAAGCTGCTCGAGTGGAACTTACTTCTCACCAAGGAAATACAGAGGGAATTAATACCGTCCGCTGTCTTATATTGGCTACACAACTACAACTCTTGCACGCAGGCTTACATGCTATATATCTTTTACTAGCAGGAGAGCCCGGCGTTGCCCGGGGATGTAACAGTAAGAGATAGATCAAGTATCGACCATCATAAAGACTGAAAAATAAAATTGACAAAGATTATTGTTTAAGGTTGACGGACACGCATGTCTTAATTACTTTGTTTTTTTTTGGGGGGGGTCTTTACGAATTGGTCTCACCCAAACTCAAACAAAAACATTGTTTTCAATCGTTATGAGTCTACCGATTGAATAGAATTTTATTATAAACAATTGTCTTGTAAATGGAATTTTTAAAGCTTTCTGAATGTAAAAATAAAGAAAAAAGAGTGCAAGGCAATAAGAAAAACTACCTGCCAAAAAAAAAAGTGAAGTTTTGTTGAAATCGGTTGAAAAATGTAGGAAATCCGATCCCATATATAAACGAACACACACACAAAGAACCAGGGTTTTATAATAAGTATAACTCGATATGAGTTGTCACCCTTTCATTCTGGCGACAGAATCATGTTTTATTGTGTTTTCAAATTGATTTCGTGCAAAAACAAATGTGTTTTTCCCAATTTTTGGTGCTGTCAGAACCACCGCAAGGTAATTTTACGTAGTCCTGTGAAGTTTTGTTGAAATCGGTTGAAAAATGTAGGAAATCCGATCCAATATATAAACGTACAGACACACACACACACACACAATCTGCGTTTTATAATAAGTAAGATTATAAAACAAATTTAATATAATTTAATTGCAATAACTTTTATTAAAATAAACGAACATTATTTGTATCCGTTTCTATTGATATTAACCCACCAAAATCCCCATATCGATATTTAGTGACACACCCTCACTACACTAGGTGTTCCTGCTTTGGTTTTCGTAGTGAGATGTTCTGTATTACAGGGTAGTGTTATTAGTCCCACGTCAAACTGGTTCTGAATTTAAAGTTGCCATCTTCTCAGACTTGTTGCTCAACAATGCTAGATAGTTCAGTTTTGCCTGCTATAAATCTTTAGTTTAGAAGTGACTAGCAGCATGGCCCGGCGTTGCCCGTACTTGATTCAAACAATCGCTATCATTTGACTTAAAATATTTTTGCCCTTCCTTGCCTTTAAAGGAGTGCCCTTTGCCGTGCTAATATTGCTACATGCCTTACTTCTTGCCTATCTCACACTGCGAAGTTTTTCTAAGCTCTATACTAAACATTAAATCTGTTACGAAAAAAGAACTAAACAAAATGAACACAAAACG